AAACCCAGTGATGGGACCCCCAGGCTCCCACAGCCCCATCCCTGGTGTGAGCAAGGGGGGAGCAGGACACTGGCAGACACAGCTTCCCCTGAGTCCAGACAGCCAGGGTCTGGTACTGACATGGTCAGAGGGACAAGGATATGACCAGGACAGGGCAGGGATTGGCATTTCTGCCAAGGGGCCACTGCCAGAGCACCTGGCATCTCCTGCCACTTTGTTGTGACACCAATGCTATGATGAGCTCACGTCCCTGTGGGCTGGTGGGGATCAGCTGCAGCACTGACCCCATCCCCTGCAGCAAAGCACTCCTCAGCAGCTCCCTCTCAGCAAAAACCACCTTGTCCCCCTGCCAGAACCTCTCCTGGAGGGCAGATTCTGCCTGCATCTCCTTCCCTCTCTCTCCAGACATGGAAAGCTACTGCAAAATGCATTATTTGCCACATCTACCTAAGCAGTGTGTTTGTGGGGAGGATGCAGGGAGTGTGATACAGTCCTCCAGTCACTTTTCCACCTGCCTGGTATTTAGGATGAAAATAAGATCAGGCCTGTAAAATACAATCCACTACCTGATGACTTGTAAAGCAGCAAAACAGAGGTAATGAGTTTTTCATGTCATTGCACAGTGAAATCCTACCCACAAACATAAAACTTTTCAGGTTACAGGCTGAAAGATTTCAAGCCCATCTGTAGGTGAGTCGGCTGGGTGTGCTGGGACAGGTTACAGAGAGCCCAGATGAGCATCCTGCACATATTGGAAGCACTGAGGCCTTTCACACACTGGCAGGAGGTCATGCATTAAAATGTACTTTGGTGTCATCTGATATCGAGGCATAGGAAATATTACAACCTCCAATCCATGAGTCCCCACCCCTGCTCCATGGACAAGAGCTGTGAAAGGCACAAACCTCCTCACTGCTCCCCAACTGCATCCAAAATGCCACATGAAGACCTGCAGTGTATTACCAGAGCAGGGCCAGAAGAAGCCCTGGCCATCCCCTGCCCCCAAAGGTCACACAGTCCCTCCCAGGGGAACTCCAGCACGAAGCCCCTTGACTTCCACCTCACCTAAAAATTATCAATCCAAAAGATAGACAGCGGCCACGTTCTCACTGCAGCTCCTGCCTCTGTTGGTAAATATTAGCAAAGCCAATCCCAGGTCGCTGTCATCAGCCTGCTCAAGTATTCTGGGAAGAAGCAAAATTTGGGATAAACCAGCAACTGCCTGCTTCCAGCCCTTTGTCCATGCCATGTCTCAAGCAGGATGTATGTGATACATATGGTATATATATTTTCTGCCACTATATTTGGGATTGCAGTGGCTATTCCTATTTTATCAGTCAGTAGGACTCCTATTGACTGGATGCAGCCATAAAAGGTAAAGAAACCCCAGAAGGCACTGGTAACACCATTAAATATCGGTCCTGACAATGGTAAATTGGGTTTAAAAGTTTGGAACAGAGTGCCAAGAGAGGAGGCTTTTTCCTGAACCAAGGAATAACATAAAGCCCCACTTTCTCCCCTATGTGACTTTTGTCATTATCATCTTTTCTGATTCTTACAAAGCAAACCTAATTAGGAAGCTCTCTCATTAGTCTTCCAGAAAAATTAGCACAGCTTATGCTAATTACTCCTGTAAAATTTAATAAACTCGTTGAAATGGGAATAGTCTAATGAGGTTTTATTTATTGAACTAAGATAACTGTAAGGAAAAAGGTTAGGACACCAGGATATCCAGAGTGGTAATAAAACTACAATTTATTCAATTTCTTCACAGGAATTTTATTGTGAACCTTTTAAATTCAAATATGAGTTACAATTTGAAAGTTAAATCAATCCAGAATTTAATTTAATAACAGGAAGTGCTCTGTGTTTTCCTTAAGTGTGATTACAATACAGCCTTGCCACTGCACTCATAGGAGGAATTGTGCATTTGTATTGTGACAATAATACCTCTTTTAAAATGAGTTCCTGTTCATCAGATCTTCATCTCAACACATGTAACTGGATTAGTGATAAAATATACAGGCTATGCTAAGAAGATGATACAAACACACACACTGGTTTCCAAGAAACTTCCTTGGGATGGCTGCTATGTAATCATAATAGATTTATTTTGTTCTCCAGAGAAAATTTAAATCACTGTTTTATATGAGTATAAATTTCTTTAGGTCCCTTTCACTGCTGTATCTGCTGATAGTATAATAGAGCAAAGTATAAAACAATTTTATAAAGAATAAAGTCATATCCTGTTTCAAACACAGCTACAGAGTTTCTTTCTTAAAACCCACATCTTCATTAGCAAAAAATACACTCTGATTTCACATATACCCAGGGTTTGAAGAAGAATACAACACATGTAACTTTGAAGTTGCCAAAGAGCCTTTTCTCCAAGTTCACCAAACCACCACAAAGCCAGAGCCCTCTCTATCCCATGTCTCTCCAGCCTCATCAAAGTGAATTAATCAATCCCAAATAGTATTCCAACTTGTCAGAAGAGGATAGCATTTCCATGTAAGTACATATGTAAAAAATCCCATGTATAGATTGTATGTTAAACTCTATGTTAGGTCAGAGTCTGTGGATTCACAAGATTTGATGCAAGAGTTAGATTAAATCCATAGGCAAAGACTTGATCAGAGCATCAGGCATGTGGGAGTGCTTTAGCCCAAATGGTAAATGAATTCTCTAAGCTCATTGCAAATAAAAATAACTAAATATGGCTTTGCACATCAATTGACATAATAGTTAAAAACTGTGTGCATGGAGAAGTGACAATGGAGCACAACCAAACACATGGCCTGACTTGTGCAGGCATTTTAATCACAGAACAATTTTAAAGGACTCGTTTTAAGGTAAAAAGGCTCTGTATAAATCACTTTATCCTTTCCAAACCAAAGGGGACAAGAAAAATGAATAGGATAAATGTCACAAGAAACATCACTAAAGCCACTAACTGTATAAAGCACATACTTGCTTGGCCTAAATTGTTTGAACTAGCCCCAGCCAAGAAAAGGTTTTAAGTACCCTACTGGGACAGATGCGAAGCGGCAACAATAGAAGCCACACTAATGCAATCCAGGTAACACAATCCTGTTTCAAAAACACAGGGAGGGCTAATTACAGTACTGCTGAGTCAAATTTCTTATGCCATTGCAACCCACAGGAACAGGTCAAAATCAAGTGTTATTCAAACCACAGTCATATCAACCTTCTGTATCAAAGTCACAATTTAAAACCAAGTGAAGAACCTAAAAGCTTAACCCATTCACAAGCCAAGTGTGATTCAGTGCGGGTGGCAAGGCAGGGTTTCTATTATCAGCTTAGAATTAGCTTGCATTTTGAGAAGAAACTTCAAAGTTGGTAACTATTACATCAATTCAGGTAAAGACTGAGGAATGGATCACTACTAGGAAGCTAAAGCTGTTTTGGTTTTTTTTTCCCCTGTACCTGTTTTCCTCATTTTTCAGGAAGCATGTAACAGACAGCATCTCCGGCTTTCAAAATTTAAAATGATTTACAACTGGCAGTTTTGCATACTAGATAGTTAAACAAAATATTTCTGTAAACCTGCCATTAGCATCTTAACATCTCACTTTCCAGTACAATGAAAAATTCATGTGAATTTTGTAGCTTTCATGTTGCTCAAAATGCCACTCTAACACCATGTTTATAGTGTTCAGCTCTGCAGCATGCTTATAAAACACAGCTCTGTACAGGTTTCACTGGGGGGCTTTCCCCTACACACACTTCCTCTGGTGCTACCTGATGCTCAGAAAAGATGAAAATATGCCTAGTTAAAGTAGATAGGGATATCTTCAGAAATTTAAACATTCTCAGGATTATTTAGTACAGCTAATCAAAACATCTGCTATAAGCATCCGATAAAAGCACTTTCCTACCCAGCCCATCCAAGAACTGGGAGCTGGGATGAGCACAAGCACATCAAACCCCCCTCACCTCCTTTCATAAAATAGGTGCTCTGGCATGGAAGATACTACAAACTTCACACAGCAAACATAGCTCAGACAGCAATGCAAGGAGAGGCAGGTGCTCTGTGCCCTCCCCCTGTGTGTTTGGGTAGCCCCCTTTGGGGTCCCTCTATTCACAGCTCAGTGCAGGGTATTGCTGTCCCCAGCCAGCCCTGACAGACACTTTTGGTGCTTGGTGGCCATTTAACTCCTCTAGAGTAACACTGCACAATACCCTGGCTATCCCACATGGCTTCGGACAACACATTTGGACAATTAAAATGTAAAAATGGCTCTTTGGCTACCATTTTGCATAATTGGCAAGCAACAGAAACTACACATGGCTCAGAACAACAGGAATAGATGTATTGTACTACAGTGATTTACTCAGTGATGTCAGATTAGCAATATGGATCTGTTTAAAAACACAATAATTAAGACAGGCAAAAATGAATTAATCAACTGACAATACAGTCAAAATAGTATTCCAACCAAAGAAAATAAGAGGAGGGGAAAAAACCTTACATTGCAGATCTATTTTCTTAACTGTTTATATGCATAAATAAAAGCCTTAAAATGTAGATGGATTGCATCCAACAGAACTACAGTAGCTAAGTGATAATGATTCAAACATTTTTCAAATAAAAGTTAAATATTTATAAGCACCCAACCACATTTCATAAATCACAAACTATTATTATTTTATTCCTGAAGCTTCCCTGGCATAGCATGTGAATTGAGTCACAGAAAGAAAGAAAAATCTCCTCTTTATGCACATGAATCAGTTACAAGAGCTGGAGCCCTCCACAGAGCAGGGCACTCCAGTATTCCTACATTATCCCACATATGGCCCTTCCAAGGCAATCACAACTGCAAAGCACAACTAATTCTGTATCAAAAAACAACAAAATTTCATCCACATATCCTCCTAATTCTTCCCCATTAGCAACACAGGGCAGGTGTTTCATTATAATGAGGAGAGGGAGGAAGGAAAAAAAAAAAAAAAAGGAAGGAAACAATAGCAGTCCTTACCTGTCAATTATCACTGGATCTGATGGAGTCTCATTTCTGTTGCCACAGCTTTTCTTGTCACAACAGCGGCTACAGAGCAAAAGCGAAAGGATTTAGTGCGACCATTACACTGTAAAATCATCATTACGAACATGTTGGGTTCAAATTGCCAGCTCGAGTTACCCTGCCGGCCCTGCCTGCAAATCAGTCAAATGTACTGGGTCACATATGGGTTAATTACGATGTTTAACTTCTTGCACAGCTGGTTAGCAACGGAAAATATAAAAAGAGAGGGGTTTTGCCCCTTTCACAAATAATAATTCAAGGATCGCCCAAAACAGGGAGAGCTGCCTATTTGTAGCCTCTTTTCCGCGGGGTTTAACAGTTGTCCCGCAGACGCTGGCACACAAAATAAGGCAGATTTTTCCCTGCTGAGCCTGGTTTTTACATTTGCTTAACGCTTGTGTTACACATCCACAAGATATTCCTGCTTCCACACAATCCCCAGCTACTGGCAAACCTCCCCCCAAACTCCGAAAGCACAATTATTCTCCCTCTAAGAAACACTGGTGTTAATGGGGGAGCTAAAATGCAAGCAGCAGCAGCAGCTTTTTATGCTCGAGCGCGCCTGTTTCCCCAAGTTTTCCGAGCATGTTAATGATCACTAATGCCACGGAGAGCTCTGCTCTGGAGGCTGGTGCCCTGCATCAGGTCAGATACAAAGCAGGCATGTGAAATATAAGCTCTGTCTCCCAAAGCACTGCTCCATGGCTGACCTCGAGGCTGGGATTCTTTTTGAGCTAAGGTGGCTCGTTGTTTCCTAAGAGAAGTTAAATTGTTGGATGTTTTTGATGATACCTTGTGAAGGGTTGTTTTCTGTAAGGAGGCATAAATGTATTGCAGGTGAGTTCGTAGGTGAGCTACACTTTCCTGTTCCAGGTGGGAATTCCTCCTGGTGCCCCTGGAGCTGTGGCTGGGAGCTGCCCTGCTCTTCCCACCAGCCCATCTAAACCCACGAGACCAAATCACAGCCACAAAGGTCAGAAAAGCCTTAAGGTTTCACCCACCCACTCACCCCAGGGAGGAAACCCCCATATCACAAGGAAAGATACTGTTTGTTGTTGTCCCCTTAACAGAAAATCCCTCACTGAAGTCAACGCTTCAAGAAATAAATAAATCAAGAAGCTCCTGACTTTCCCAAGTCCTTCTTAGTCCCCAAGGAGTTGCTGGACAAAGCCTGGGCAGCTGCAGGGACCCCATCCCATGATGGCACCAAGTGTCAGGCAGTGAGGACCACCCCAGCTGCTCTCCCTGGCCAGACCTGAGCACATCCCCCTGTTCAATAAACTTTCTGGTCAACCTCAACCACACACAACCGAATCTTTGGAAACCACTAAGTTTGTTCCCAGTGGCATTCCAGGGATCTGCATCTCGCCTGTATTTCAGCAGCTGTCAGGAGGGACCACTGCTCACTCTCCCTCTCAGATGAACTATTTTCCTTCCCCCAGAAGGTGGAAGAACATCAGGGCAGGAAGAAGCCCTCAGAAGTGCCACGCTATATAAATAGCCTTGTTGGGAGTATGACAAAGGTTCTCTTGTGTTTCTGAACAATAGAGTGAATAATATACAGTTACCCACCAAGATTAGCAATAAAGCAACTAACCACACTAAAGATAACAAAAAAGGGGCCTTTTACAAAAACAGCCTGTTTAAACATGGCTTAAAAAAAATAATAATTTTGTTTTCAAAGAGAGGAAAATACATAATTCTTTTCACCGCAAAAATCTTCAAGGCAACTATTCAGGGCTGAAACTTTTCACAGTTAACACATGTGCGGTATCTTCATTTCGGTGGAAGTTACATTGTTTGGCATTGCCAAAAAAAACTGCTTAATTTTACAGCACAATACCACAATTGATCCACCAGAAAATGCCAGAGCCTTGGCACCCTGAAAGTATTAAAATTTAGGAAGGAATAAAATATGCTGTAGGTAAATAGTCATGGGGACGTTCGGGGGCTTTTTTGCCTATAAAAGGACTTGTCATTGGAGTGCAGCTAGAATGTGTGGGGTGAGAAAATTTACCCACAAACAAGGCAATAAAAACTGCTAATCATTTTTAAATGATTAAAATGTAATTAGAAACAGAGTTGGCACAAGTTAAGACAATGCAGTTCTTGTGACTGAAGCGAATCAGGGCTAGTCCTGACATTCTCCCAGCAGACTGGAGGGACAGAAATTGCCACACTTACTCAGGCAAGCAAAGGTTCCCAGGCTCCCAGCACAAGATGGGCAAATATCAGCATCCAGGCTCAGAGGTTGGCACCTTCCTGGGCCATTAACCCAGAGGGAGAAGCAGCCACAGGGGCCTGGGGACAGGGACACCTTGCCTTGGTCTCATCTCCTGCCACAGGTGGGATGGAGTCAGGCACTGAGCAATGGGGACAGCCCAGCTTTGAGAGCAGGGGAAACACTTCACTGCTCCTCAGGTGGCCCCTTAATTGGGGTACCTTCCCAAAAGTGCACCCCAATAGTCCCAAGTGATAGTAGAGACCTCACTCCTTGACCACAATCTGAGAGTGATGTGGAGAGGCTGCATGGGTGGCACATCCCACCATCGAGTGGCTCTCTGGCATGAAAGGAGGCCCTGAATGTTCCTTTATGACCTAGAGAATTATATTTTAAAATTCAGTTTGCCTTTTGTGTTTTATCCTCCCCGCAACAGCAGAATTGGAGGCCTCTTCACTCCAGCCTTTCTATGCAGAGAATTAAAACATCATGTAGACCTTGAGTTTCAGACCTGGTTAAAAGTGCTTTTAATTCAATTTCCCTCAAAAGCTTTGGCTTTTAGTGCCTACTTAGCACTTGGAAATAAGTTCCTAAATATTCAGCACCCTTTCTCCTTTCCATGAAAGAATTTTAAAATTCCCAGGAGCTTCTCCAAACCACTCAGAAAACCTCCAGCTCCCAGCAAGGCTCTGTGCAAGAGCAGGGAATGCCAGTTCCTTAGCAGGAAGGAGGACAAGGATTTGTCTTTGCTGTTCTTCCATGACACCTCTCCCCAGCTGGGGCTCAGACACAATGCCACAGGAAAAGCCTACAAAAATTGATTTTTTGGTAGGGTTTGCTTGTTTATAAAACACGTAGTCCTTGGTAGTAATGCAGCCTGCGAGCATTTCCAGCTCCTGCATCCCATTGTTGTTGTATCCTCAAGGCTCATTCCCAAGCCCCTCACCGTGCTCCTCCCCAGGCCACCACCATCCCCAGCTTTTATTATCAGCTTTTTACGCCTTTCCCCTCACCCCAACCCTCCGAGGGCCTGCTGCTCCCCTGTCTTCATCATCCTCCTCCCCTTCCCTCGGGTGTTCCTGAGGATCTCTGTCCAGGCCCACAGGACGAGGCCTCCTCACGCCAGGCCTGGCTCCCCAAACCCTCCCTGGCCGGAGCGTCCCCCGTGCTCTGCGTGTCCCAGGACAATGAACAATGAGGAATTAGGGACCCGTGGCCAGCGCCAAGGACACTTTGGCTGCCAGGCCCCAACAAGACACTGGTGAGGCCGAGTGGGAGATTTTGCACGAGGTGCCACCGGTGATGCCATCAGGACAAACCCTGTCCCAAACGGGATCCTCACCCTGGAGCATGGAGGTGCACGACCCCCCTGCTAAAACAGCTGTAAGGTCTTATTTTACACTGACAAAACCCATATTTTACTCCAACCTCATTCTCAGAAATCACTGAACCATTTTAGCTGAAACTTTCCAAAGAAAGTCAGCCTGAGGCTGACACCCTGCAAAGGATATTTCAGCCAGAACAGTTTAAGTTTGGCAAAGCTGTAAGCCACTGAAGGTTTCATAATGGAAATTGTTGAGGCAATATTAACTATAGATGTCCCTCCCCATGCTGCCTACAATACTAATAAATTCCACTGAGGTTGTGAATTCTCCTCAGCTATTAACATTTTCACCAACAGTGTGGATTTTTATATCTGACAAAACACAATGAAATCCTTTGAAATAAACAGCTACCTGAAGCAAACCTCAGCTTCACTCCCCTACCACAGCCAGGACTCTCTTATACATTTGAATTCTTTGTCTCCTCCGTGCCGTAGCTGTAGTACACTATAAATACCCAGCTTTGTCACATAAATGCAAAGTTTTATTGTGCAGTTAGCCTTGATAGAAAGCACTGCTGAAAGTTGTTTAGAAATTAAATATCTAAAACAAGCTATTTTAAAATACAGAGCCCTCACTATTTCATGTCTGAAATGAAGAAATTTCATCTTAGGGAGAGCAAGCTGTCTTTCACACCATATGGCTAATGGTAGTGCATAGCAATTAGCTGGGCTGATTAATGGGGAACAGACTCTAATTTTATGCTTATAATTGAGGCTGCATTTGCACCCCTGGTGCAAATTCAGCACATCCCAACTTCCACTTACAACAGGCAAGAAATCAAGAGAAACAGAATGGTGTGGAGAGAGAATTTTTTCCCCTTCTAGACCCCTAAAGAGCATCAGATTTGCAATTTAAAAGCGTGTTAGCAGCACAATAGATGACAGATTTGTGCAATAGGGTCAAGCGGCCTGGTAAACAAACAGCACCCTCTTACACACGTATGGGCAGCAGGGGAAATGGGGAATATCTAACATGAGCTGTAAGAAATTTGAATATGTCTCCCCTACCCCGTCAGGAACATAACATTTGCCTCCTACAGTCAGTTTGGGCTTTTTCTACCCCTCCACCTTATGGCCATGGAACACAAAGCAAGGACTAGCAGTAAATAAATAGGAGAAGAAGAAGAAAGCTTCTGAGACAGTGAATTTTAAGAACAAAGAAAGTGCAAAGCACTTTAATAAAGGGAGTGACTGCACATATTTCCACATTCCCAGAACAGAAATAATTTTGTCAAAGTATATTGAATGGCTGTAAATCTGTGATGTGGATATTTGGTCTTCTGGTTAAAACTCAGCCCACTATATAAAGTTTTAATTTACTTCTTACACTTTATGCTTCTGAAGTATCTATAAGGAAATTAATTCATTAAAGTAGTTGATTCTGGCTCAGTGAGTTATTCCTACCACCAAACCTTGCTGGTTAAGGATCAGGAGGACACAGCACCCAGGACTAATGGCAGACTCAGACCTTGACACTGCAGGCACTTGAACATGTGCTTAATTTTTCTCATGTGCCCAGTCCCAGGGTTTTACTGGTCTGTTACAGGAGAAAAGTAAAAGGCACTTGAGTCTTATCAGGTCAGGGGCCTCCTTTAATATTTCCATGAATTGTTCCTAGCTAGGTATCCAGTGTGAAAGTTGTGCTAATTGGGCCAATGAATTTTAGGACAATTACAAGTTGTCAGCATGACTGGGATTCCATTTGGAAAGGCAGAAGTGGCCTGGAGTCCTCAGCAAAGCAAGGAGGCTCCCAATGGCAGCAGAGGCTCAGGCTCCTCTTGGAGATGCTGATTGTTCTGGAGCTGCAAACCAATGTCTTTGGTTTCCTGGAAGAAGCCAAACCCCCTGAAGGAAGCAGCCCAGAAAAGCATGATATAAAAACCAAAATCCAGCTGCAAGGAAGAATTTGAGGGGGGGCTGTGCAGGGTTTCACCCAAGCTGACAGAGCAAGGAGAGCAACTCCTTCTCTGCCTTCATCACAGGGTGCTATCCTCCAGCAGGGTTTTAGCAGGAGGAGCTGTCAGTGGAGGACAAAACATGAAGATCCCAGGAATTTAAAAAAATAATAAAAAAAAAAAAAAAAAAAAAAAAAAAAAAAAAAATCAACCAACAGAGAAGTTTCCATCTGAATATTTTGTCAAAGACTCTCCCCTGCCAGGAAACCCTCATCCAAGTTTATTCTTTTAGAAGTGGGTACTAGTTTTTACCCTCAAGTTACTCCTTTTTAGTAAATGTGTTTTGTAAAAGTTACAACGCATGCAATGGCATTTTTACAGTCTTAAAACAACTGATTGTAACAATGAGCTTATGCAAGAACGCCTCGTCTTCCACCAGGGAATTATTTTCTGCCATCGAATAACATGTAACAAATGATTTTTTCAGACATGCAAAAAACACCCACTAACTTTAATGAGACTGAGAGGTCAAGCTCTGTGAGGTGGCGAAGGGGTCTGTGGTAAAAAGGAAGTAGAGGAGGCTTCACCTACTTCAACCAGCCAGAACAGAAAAGGAAGCAGCTGCAGAAGTTTGGGGGAGAAGATATTTGACTGAATTAAAGTCACCAACCCCAGGCAGGGCAAGAGAGCACTAGGCAGAGCCAAATCTGCATGGGGAAGTTTAAAGAAAATCAAGAAGACGACATCTTTTGCACAGAGAAGATTCAGCTGCTCCACTCCAGGGAGTGGGGACCCTGCATGAGCAGCAACCAGGAAAAAAGAACCTCCTGACCTCACTCCTTAATGTACATACAGAAAAAAAAAGTAAAATTAAATTAAAGAAGTACTATTTGTCATTTTGCTGAGGAGTTTTTGTTGGGAATTGGGGCAGAGACGTTTATGGCTACAAGACTATAATAGACTGTTAATTTCAGTGAGGAGACCTTTTGTGGGCTACAGTGTCTAAATGAAAACCAGCAGCATTCTGTTAAGAATAACTCTTTATAAATAATTGAAAACTAGTGTGGCAACTGAGACCTTGCTGCTAATTACACACACCGAACTGTGTTATTTTGGGATTGTTTAATGCAAGAAAGATAAATTTAAGTCCGAAAATAGCTGTAGGTTCAACCTAGATTTTGGGAGACAGATTCATCTTCTCATCACTAATTAACTGGAAGAGAGGTATTTCTTACCTGCACATTATTTCATGCGTGAGCAGAACTCGGCACATTTCTGGATTCTTGTCTTGGCCTTCATATACTATCGCCTAGAAATAAAACACATTTTTAGTTGTACATAAAGTTGAGTTTGGAGAAAATCAAAACACATCATCACGGTAAGCAAAGGCTCAGCGAGTTGTAAACCACAGCTCAGGCTAAAGACACCTGGCATCTCCACCAAACCTGCTCCAAGACCTGCAGTTGTAAAACAACACAAGCTGAGTACAGCTAAATTCCCTCCTCTCTGTTGCACATCTCTCCAGCGGTGTGTAGGATGGGTTTTTTTAGTAGTCAAGACAACCACAATTTTCTTTTCAATTCAGAATAAAATATAAACCTAATAGCATTAAAAGGAATGGGGAAAAAAAAAAAGAAAGAAAGAAAAAAATCAGCAAGGCTTGGTATACTTTGGGTCCTATTCATTAAAAAAAAAAAAAAAAAAAAAAAAGAAAAGCGAGAGCTCATACATTTTTAATTACAAAAGCTGCACAGCCCAGGCATTTTCCTGGTAGCTCCTGAGAAAGCGCCTGGGCCTGATTCTTCCCTTGAACCTCCTGATCCAGCGCTTTCCAGAGAGCACCTCCGGAGTTACAGGGATATAAATAAGTGAGGAGAAGGCCCTACCAGAGCAGAGGAGACCAAAACAAACAGAGGATCAACCGGCTTGAGAAATTTGACTCTGAGACAGCACAGGGAGAATCCTTTAAGCTAAAACTGTGGAAAGGCAGAGCGTTCACATTTCAAGAGGAATCTGCCTTTGCTCCCACCAGCAGCGAGGGATCAGCATCACACACAAACTGGGTTAGTGCTCCAGCCCCTGTGGGACAGGATTCCCATCTCAGCCCCACAGAGTCATGTTTTCCAGCCCCCCAGCAGCAAAGCAAGAGTGGAGTTTCCTTTGCAACAGCATCTTTTACTGGCCCTGAGGTTTCTAAATCTTTTAGGGTGGCACTCCAGAGCGGGGATCAGAGCCCCAGCCTTGGAGGGATGACCACCCCTGCATCTGAGCATCAGCGCTACCCTTGAGCTTGGTGTGACCTTTTCAGCCTCTAAAACACAGAACTTAAAACAAGAAATTGGGGGGGGGGTAAAACACAGCCGGTAAAATGACATCTGAGATGGGTCTCCCTAGAGCTATGGATGAAATAGATTTTGAGGAATGAGATCAATTTGAAATGGAAGCGTGGAAAATACTGACAGAAAAGTAAGTTACCTTAATATAGAAAGAACTGCTTTTCCGGTCCTTACAAATGTAACCCATGAAGGATAAGAGGTGTGGTACTTCCAGAAGGGGCACAAATGTCAAAACACACAAATCTGAAGAAGCATGCATTGACTTTTACACAATTGAAATGGTAACATGCAATATTAATATTATGCGTTAAAAAATTACTTAACAATTCAATAAATAATATCAGGAATGGGCCTGTGTTACCTTTGGTTTTCCTTTAATTTTTTAGCTTCAGTTTTGCTATAGACCTTTCCCTAAAACCTGAGCTGGGGTTTTATAGCTGATAAAACAGAGGCTGCCACTAATTGCCACTAATGGGCCCAGAGTCTCACCTGGTTTCTGCTCCCTCACTTCCACCAGTGAGGCACAACAGCTGTGAACCCAGCACTGGGATAGAGGGGATGCACAGAAAGTCCCCCCAGCACAGACACCAGCAATCCCCTGACCCCACCTGGGACCCCCACCTTGAGCTCTTTCCACACCAGCCCAAGAGAGATACAGATGGTTTGCAAGAAGCCTTGGAAAATGGAATTGTGTGTATTACAGCAGGAGGTGGGGAAAATTCAGAAGAGCCTCATTCCCAACATTAAAAGGGAAGATGGGGAGAAGCTTCTTCCAGGCAAAGCCAGAGAACTGAAGTAACTGGCTGACACCTGGTGGGGTCAGTCAGTGGGGACATTGCAAAGACTCCAGAAAACCCCAGCTCAGGTTCCACCTGGCAGTGGGACAGGCCAGGCAAGGAGGAAGCTCATGGCACTTCTTGGACTCCATCAACAGTTAAAAAATCATCTCCCTCTGAGAATGCAGAGCGGGAGGGGAAAGAGCAGATCTACTTCTGAGGCCTTCAGTGGGGACACCTCCATCCCCCTGTTACCTCAATGTGACATGGGAGGAGAGGGCTGCTGGACTCAGCTCATTCTTCTCATATTTCCAAAAATTAAAATGAATTTACCCAGGATGGGTTAGCTTGTTGCCAGCGGAGCCAAGGAAGTTCTAGAAACGACAAACCAAACGCAAAATTTACTTTCTTTTTTCCCCCTGACATTTCTCCTCCTCTCCCCTTCCTGCTGCTGTGCTTACTTAACCTCCAGGTAGCTGCTTAAATAACTCAACTAAATAGCAATAATGAACGGGCAGAGTCAACACTGTGGTACATAATCACCTTGTCTGTTGTGTTTAGCATCAGTGATCCCTCCTTTGCGTGCATGACATTCTTCTGCCTCCCTCCACACTAAGGATTTGCTTCTCACTTTATTTGCATTCAATTATCGAAGTTGCACCCGTGCACATTTTGTTTTCTCCGCGTCAAACGCAGCTCCTCTTGCCTACCCTATTCCTGCAGGAATTTCTAGGAAATTCTGGGAAGCAGGAGGAAGAGCTGGGCTCGTTTCTAAGCAGCTCATCCCCATCTCCCCACTCCTGTGTCCCAATTTACTTGTGCAAAGCCCCAACTGTTTGCCCCCATGAATGGCTGCCCGAGAGCCCGGCAGATACTCGACCACCTCGCAAAACGCGCCGCGCTGAAGCATTAATTCTACAATTGGTTTCAAAAAGGAAACAGGAACTGCTAAAGTTTCAGATCGTTAGAGCTGCCAGAAGTATTTTTACAGGAAGGGTCTACTACGTTACTGTTGTGAAAATGTTTAACTCTCGGATTTGTAAAGCTACTGTTTTTAACAAAAAAAAATCTTGATTTTTTTTTTTTTTTTAAATAAATTATGCGGATTTTAAGTCCAGCATTTGAAACGGGGAGATTGCGTCGGGGTTCCCTGTCACACGAACGTCGTCGTGATTTTGTCAAATAGGGATCACATTAATGAGAGACAAAGTGAAAGTTACAGTGCATAAACTTAGACCACAGCAGAGCTAAAAATAAGCCTGCAGATACACATCAGAGTTGCACAACAAAACACCGGCAAAGGAAATGCAAAATTATAGATTTTGGGTTTTTTTCTTTTTGTTTACTTCATGTCGTTTTAACTCGGTGGTTTTTCATAAGCATTTGAAAATAGCGTTTCTTCTCCTGAACAACTTAAACATTTCCCTACAAAATTTATCTTCCATTTTGCCAGCTGTTACTCACCCAAGTAACCTTCCTGTGAGAAGTCCCAATGAGTAACAATCACTCATGCACAGACTTCAAAATCAGGCCTCGAAAAATTAGTGTCAAAAATATAATACTTCCTCACATCTATTTAAATAAAGCTGCATAAAAAGTTAAATCAAATTCAATTCACTGCTTAACAGCAAATAAAAATTACTACAGTGAGCACATCACAGTCAAGTGCGTCCAAAAATTCACCTAAACTTTTCAGCGACAGACTTCATTATTAAAAATAAAATAAAATAAAAAATAAAAAATAAACAGGAAGGGAGGTGATACAAAAGTCAAGGCTACAGTTCTCATTTAATCTACTTTTTCCCCAATAGATGCAGTAGGATAAAGCAATAAAAGAATTGACAAACAAGCTGGAAAAATACAGAGACAGATTTTGTCCGTAACCATTCCTGAATAAATCCAGATTTATGCTGGTACAAGTGAGGGCAGAATCGTCTCGTGGTGTCAGTTTGCCAGTCAAGCAATCCTGCTTTCAGAACTGGACGAAAAACAATCTTGAAGGAATGAGATCATGGTCATTATATTACTCAGTTATGTCATGGCCTTGATTTTAAAAGAGTAAGAGAAGGAGAGAAATCACCAACATGCATCTAAATTCACTTGCTTTCAGATTCCATCTGCCTCACAAAACAAAGTATCTCCTTTACAGAAATAAAAGAGAAGGGAAAACTCATTAAAATTAGGGTCTTTTCCAAAACAGAACTAAAATGATTTGGAATGACGTTTACAGCTGTACACACAGGGAGAAAATAAAATCCTGGCCCCACCGAATTCAATAGGCGCTTTGCAATTGACTTCAGATGGGCCAGAATTTCACCCAGAGAGGATTAGGCTTGTATCCACTATATATCTACAGAGAAAATACTGCGAATTACATTTATTTGGCTTTGAATCCTTAACCCTCAATTACCCGAGGTTTTACCCCTTCCCCAGGCAAAACCTCAACTCGTCCCAGGGAGGTTTATCCCGGACACGCAGCGCGGAGCTGGTCCCGGGGCGAGGACAGGGAGTTCTTGCTCTGCCTCTCCACGCACAATTCAGAAGCATCTAATTATTTTATCCAGTCGCCCTCTGCCTTTGATTCACAGCCTGCTTATCGACGTATTCACACAAATTAAATAAATTTATCTCTCCTAATATGTTCATTTTTAATGGTTTTCAAACATTCACATGGAAACAGCTCTAGCGTAAATATCCCAGAACAAATGGCTGTATATTATACAGGAGGGAGCAGTTGGGCTGCCAGACTGGGAATGCACCAGGCCATCTGGCTCAGGCAGTCTCTCCAAAATCCTCAGCTTTGTTTTCACCCTCAGACTCCAAACAACACATTTTCCACTGTGATGAGTTTACATTTTCCCAAACACAGGTCCTGATCATGCATGCAAATTCCAAACTTCTCCATTCCTCTCTGTACAAGAAAATTAAAATCACCTGCGCTTCTGACATCTCACCAAAGGCACAAGAAAGCTGCTAAAATCTGGCGCAATGTAAACTTTCCCCGTCACAGGGGTTAGGTTTTGTTTCATGTTTGTGTGAAATTTCTCTGAGTCTGCTGAGGCTCCTCTGAACTTATTGATAACATTTTTTTTTCCCATGCGTGTAGCTGCCAGAGAAGGGCCATGCCATGCACAGAATGGAGCTGATCAAATATCTGCAGACATCAGAGAATGACAGACAAGTCAACAGAAAAACCATTTTCATCCAGAGTTATAGCTCTGAAAAAAAAAATTCCAAATATAAACAGGATTTAAGTCTGAAGGAAGGATTTTTGACTCATGAGGGCTCTCAGCAATAGACAATAGCCATCGAGCAAAACTTATGATTGTTAAGATGCCTGAGCCGTATTAGCATCCGTTATATCTTATGGATGAGAATGGCTGAAGGAAAAATGGGTGGGGAACAAGTATTTCAGATTTATTTCCTCCATATTTCCTAATAGTGAAATATCTCAACTTTATGAAAATACCAAAGAAATAGAAGGCATCTCTTCTCCATAAACATATTAAAATCCTTTGACTTGCCTAAAAACTCCAGTTTTATTAGAGCAGACATATTTCATGTTTTTGCAGGCAATTTCCAAATGCATCATTGTTAGAGGCAGATCTTCTGCGGGAGGAGCTGCTGCTTTACAGAAAGCAACAGCTATAAAGTTTGGGGTCCTACAGGGTTTTGAGCGCATTAGGAATGTGATCCTGACATAAAATGAGGTGCCAATATAACATTAAAAAAAATTTAATTAAGCCCGCATTGACACCGAATGTTGTTGCCTGAACTGGAAAGAACTTCTTTGCCACGGGAATGATTTGTGTGTGGCATTTGCAATTTTTAAGTGACGGGGACACATTTCAGAAACTTAGCGAGACCCCCGAAAGCCTCGTAATTCCCATTTCACCCCGCGCTTCTCCGGGGCCACCACCAAAGGCCAAGCACGATACCCAAACACAGCCCAAAATGAGGCACTCTGAGACCAATCCTGGCTGGGTTTCCCGTTTGGAACCCCACAGCCCCGTTCCCAGCGCGTGCAGCCCGAGCTCCAGTTTGGGGCACAGCTCATCCCACAGCTCTGCCCTGGGATGCAGCTCCCCACACAACTCTTGGCTGCCCCAGTAGTGCCACTCTCCAGCCCCACTTCCCATCCTGCTCCACAGCTGACACACAAACACACACGCACCAGGACACGGAGATCCCTCTTTTCCACCCTGGACACGGCTCTTGCCACGAGTTTCTTAGCTGGGCACAGCCACACAAACAAATCCCTGACTTAGGCAGAGCAGGAAGGCTCAGGAGCAGGAACATCTCCTCTTTAGTACATACACAGCCCCCAGCATAGCCAAGCCCTGCCTACCTACTGGTATAACACATGCTGCTAATGGGACATTCACATTAAATCTCTGAGCAGCACAGAAATCCAGGTCTGATTTGCAGAAGGGCTTTTATTTTATCTTACCTAACTTAATAATCCTCAACCGTACAAAACCTCGCAATTTGTAACTGTGACACAAAGAGAATATATTTAAATCTGATGTGTCCATATTAAAAAATAATAATAATAAAATTAATATTAAAAAAAAAAAGCCACAGATACTTTCCTGTATGATCTGGGGAACCTAACTCATTCAAGCTTTGCTTCTGTGGGATTTTTAATTTGCCACCAGAAACCTCAGAGTAGCTGTAATTTCAGTCTGGGAATTCACAATTATCGAGTGTGTGAATGTGCGTGTGTGAGGACTGAGCAGATACTTGCCAGCTGAAACGTGTACGCTTCTGCAACAGTTTCATTTAAAAGTAATCATTTCATTATCCAATTTGTTCTGAGCGTCATGCATTAAAATACTACACCTTCAAGTAGACTGACAATATATATTTAACTTTCATTAAAAATTAAAGAATTTTCAGACAGTCTTTGCAATATTTAATTACAGTTTGATGATTTGAAAGTTACTTGAGAATCTTCTATATAATTCACTGTCATAAAATATAAATGATATATTCAACATTTGGGTGAGCTTCTGTCATGTGTTGCACTTCACTTCCTAATAAGCATTCAGTAACCGACGCGATCCCAACTCTGAAATAATTTCACTTTTGAAAAGAAAAAATTAAAAAAGGAGAAGAAGAAGAAGAATTTAGCGTCTGGCCCCCGAAAAAATACAGAGCGGCACATGCCACAGTTTTTACATGACAATGCCCTAATTTTTCATAAGCAATGATAGTCATGCCTAAAGAAACTACAGACATGAAATTAATATGTAAGCAAACATGTTTGCGTCTAAAAGAGCCTTTTGCTCCGTTTTCTAATCTAAGCTCAGAGAGCTTTTGTTCTAAAATCCTTGCTTCTCGACCCCACTGCACTTTTCCCAAAATCTGTAATTTTGCACTAACTTTGTTTTTCTAAGACTTCCTGAAATCAGACAGATTTTTTTTTCCCTCCTCCTTCTTCATTGTGAATGTGCTTTTAAGCTGCACGGTAGGTTTTACAAATAAACTGTATCTCGGGGGTTTTTTTTCCCCTTTTTCTCCAAAGACCCTCTGATGACTTGATAATAATGAGAGACCAAGAGGTCAAACAGTGCCTTAGGATGAACTCTTCATATGCAAGATGCCTTTGTTAAGAAAATTATTTTGAATCCACTGCTCTCCATGAGTTCAGGGCTCTGTTTTCAACAGGATTATGACCAGAGGCTTCTGCATTTCCGTAACGATAGGAAAGCTATTTAAAGATAATATTTATTGATAGTCTCTCTCACACGATCTACACTGAAATACACAAGCTCCAAAAGGACTAAAAAGAGTTCATATATCAGGAAATTTTTTTTACTTTTAACACAAACTAACCAATTTGTGCCTGAAAACCAGGGAATGGCAGCAAACGCTTTCCAGGATTTCTTATGAAGAAGGGTATGTTGCTGCTGTTTTAATTCCTACAGGGAATGGGCTCTGTTTGGAAGTGTACAGTACAACAGAGTTCAGATGCACTGTGGATTGTAGAGTAAAATTCACCCAAGTCCCTTTTTTCTTTTTTTTCCCCCTTTTTTTTTTTCTTTTTTTTTTTTTTTTTTTTTTGGCCGTTGAAAGACAGTCTTCAATAGCAGGAAAAGATGTTTTGGGACCATCAAAGAGAGTTTTGTAAAACAAACTCAGCCCTTAGAGCTTTATGTTTTGCTGTAGAAGAAACCCAAATACAAGCCAAGAGTTTTGTCCCTGCAGACAACATACAAGGACTGACGTTTCCTAGCGGTACAAAAAAAAAAAAAAAAAAAAAAAAAAAAAAAAAACCCAAACCCTTAATGTTTTTCTTAAATAAAATTTAAGAATTTTCTTTAACAAGTAAAACAGATTAGGAGGGCAAGAAACATATTTTAAGGATGAGAAGGCTCAAAAGCGATCCCAACTATTTAAAAGAAACATATTCTAAGAGAAAAATATTCTGACAGGAGCAGGAAAAAAAAAAGCCAGAGTAACAATTTAAAAAGAGGAAGAAAAAGAAAAGGAAGGAGAGAGAATCGATTGGTTCAAATAGACCCTTTGTAAAAATACTGGTTTTAAACAGAAAAGGATTTTTTACAGGTAAGCACGCACGTTTTTACTCTGTTTGGGAGGCTAAAGAACAGGCTTAAAATAAGGATTAATCCACTGACAAGCCCTGCTGCCCTCCCCGAGTCCGACACCGAGCTCGCCGCTGCCCGCGCCGCTATTCTGGGGTGTGTTCCGACATGCAAACGTGTCGCGATAGAACCGCTCCTCCTTCAGCCAGCGGGGCCGGCGGCAGCGCCGGCAGCGGACGGACCGACAGAGCCCCGCGCCGGGGCAGCGCCTTGTGCTGGCGGCGCCCGGGGGCTGCCGGAGGCCGGAGGTTAATTCTTATTAATTAAGCGGCAAAACCATCCGCAGCCCTGGCTGGGACGGCTGGAGGGCCGCCGGTGTTTTTTCTCGCGCAGCCCAGCAGCAGGCAGGGTCCCGCGGGGACCCGCTCGCCTCCTCAGCCCCATCGGTGGCCGGAGAGGGAGGCGGTGGCTCCGTCCCTTCCCCGCCGGGCAGAGCGGCCCCGCCGCGGGGGCGGGATTCGCCTCCCGGGGCCGCCCCGACGGCTGCCACCCCCTGCTCGGCGGCCGCCCCGCAGCACCCACCTGCTTGGTCATGGAGTCGATGAGCCGCACGTAGAAATCCTGCTCCGTCCTGATCCCTGAAACAAGGCACAGGCGTGAGGAGCGGAGCGGGGCCGGCCGGCGGCAGCGCGCCGGGGCTCGCCCGAGGGCTCGGGCCTGCCGGGCTCACCCGTGTCCCGGCAGGGAGCGGAGGGGAACCGGGGCAGCCCGGCCGCTGCTGGGCTCTGCAGCCGCGGAGGCGACGGGGCCGACCCCGGGGGCTCCCAGCCCTTACCATTGCTGTAGAGCAGCTGCAGGCGGTAGTGGATCCCGTTGTTGGTCTTTTCGCTGTTGGCTTCCTGAAGTCAAAGGCGACACGGGAGGCCGGAGGGAAAAGGAAAACAGTATCAATGAAGCTTCTCCATCACTCGCACGCCGGGTGTCCCCGGGGCTGGATGGGGCAGTTCTCAGCCCTCTCTCCTGCCCCGAGCATAGCGAGGGATCAGGGGACAACCCCTCCTCGTCTGCCCTCCGGGACAGGGGAAGGCTGCCGTGGCTCCCGGGACGAGCCGGTGTCGTTGGCCCCGGGGGAGCGGAGCGGGGAGGGCCCCGGAGAGGCGGCCGAGCCCCCACGGGGCTCCAGGGTACTCACCTTCTCCTTCTCCACGAAGCCCACGAAGGCGGTGCGCTCGATCTCCACGGGCTGCCCCTGCCGGTCGTACAGAGCCAGGACGAAGTGGAAAAAGTTGGACTTCCTCAGGTTGGAAGGCGGCTGCTTCTCGAAGTGAGCCCGGGCCAGACCCACTCCGCTGGGACCAGAGACACGCGGGTTAGCGGCAGCTCCAACGAGGCGGCCTCACGTCCCCCCCAGCCGCCTCCCCGGCCCGTGCCTTCCCCCGCCGGGACCCGGCTGGGCCCCCCCGGGGCAGAGCATCCCTCCCTCCCCCGAGCCGCCCCGGGGCTTTTCCCTCTGGGCACGGAGAAACACTCAAACTCCAAACCCCGCGGAACCCCGACTCCATCCAGTCCTGCGGCGAGCCCGCAGCCCCCAGCAGCCCCCCCAGCCCGGCCCCGGTACCCACCAGCCCTCCCCGGGGGCCGTGCCCGCTCGCAGCCGGCCCTGCATGGCGGGGGAGCCGCGCTCAGAGCCGCCGGCGCGTTGCCCCGCGGAGCAGCATCGGTCCTGCCACTTCTCAAACTCGGCTCGGAGCTGTCACACCAGCGCCCATGTGCCTTATCTTGCGAGCCTTTCCTCCCGCGCCGGAGCGGTGGGTAAACACCGAGCCCAGGAGACAACTTCAAATATTTCAGGGCTGTCCCTGCAGAAACTTTCCTTTCCTTAGAGGGCTCCAAAGGGAGGGGTGCGGGGCGAGGTGGGAGACACCGGGAGATGTCAACATTAAACTGATGCCGGATGATTCCGGCTCCAGGGCTCAAGCTGCGAATCCAGCATCAGGCTTTGGTTCGTGTTTGGGTTTGTTTTTGGTTTTTTCCCGGGGAAGAGGACGGGAAGAAGAAGAAATAAGAGAGAAAACGAGGCTGGGCGCAGCTTCGCCAAACGCATCTTATATTTGGAGGGATTTCTTTTTTAAAATCTGAGACAAGTGGCAGTGGCTTTACAAAAGGACTTCAAATTAAATTTCTCCTGGAGTACGCTTTGCAAACTCCCTACTTATCGGAGGAGAAGAAGGGGAGCTGCTGATTCTGACGAGAATAGGAAAGCGAGGTAGAGAAATATATTTTGGATACATCCGTGCACAACTCGCTGCTTTCCGGAGGAGGAAAGTGTCATTTGAAGATCTTAAGACTAAATCAGCAGTAAACATAGTTTTGAAAACTCCTTCCTCCGAGCGAACGCAAGGAACCAGAGAGATGAAACCTACCTATCCGTACCTAGCGAAACTCGCCACTTCCTTTATTGTTGTTATCATTATTTAATAAAAACTCATTCCTACGGGACAATAGGGATAAATATTTAACTGGCGACATCTACGCGAAACTCACTGCTGGTAGCAGAGCTGCAGAGCCGGGTTTTTGTTGGCGCGGGGGGAAAGGCGCTGCGGGCGGGGAGCGCCCCGGGGCGCGGAGCGGGGCGCGGGCGCGGAGCGGGCGCGGAGCCTGCCTACCTCTGAGCGGCCGTGCTGGCGTCCAGGACGCCGGCTCCCTGCATCCACGTCCGCACCGCGTTCATCCCCGCGCCGAGGGGCTCTTCCTTCATGCTGCTCCCACTCCGCTGGATGCTTTCCTGAATCCCAAACATGAATCAGAAACAACAGCGCAAATCTTCCTTCTTTATTCAAAATTTTTTAAAAGTGATAAAATCGCCAGGCGGACTGTTATATGTGAGGGGTTTTTTTTCTTTCTTTCGCTCTTTTTTTCTCTCTCTCTGCAGCTGATCGCTGGAATCAAAGCAAGTCGGAAAAAGCAAACACAGGCACGCACATTAAAAAAAAAAAAAAATCCAGAGGCAATCAGAGCCCGGTTTTGTTGCTGCTGTTTGCTGCGTGTGCAGTTTGTTTGGGTGCTTGGAGGGGCTAGCGGGGTGCTGGGGGCCGGTTGCAGCGCTCACAAGCCGGAGGAGTACTTGAAGTCCCTTTTGTATGAAGACACCCCTCGGATGGCAGCAGGCAAAAAAAAAAAAAAAAAAAAATCAGATGGCAGTTTAAGAAACAATAGGACGAACGGGAGCTGCGGCAGGCTCTGCTACATCAAGTGTCATTTTCCAGTGACAAGAGAGGCAAGTCCCCCCCCTTCTCCCCTCTCTCTTTTCTTTCTTTCTTTTCTCCCTCTTTCTTCTCTCCTCTCCCAGCCGAAGCGCTCTCCGCTCCTCTCCTCTCTCCTCCCTCCTCCAGCCGCGCAGGAAGCGAGTTGCCGGAGCCGGGCGCACGCCGGGAAGGGAGCGAGAGGGGCGCACCCGCGGCGGCGGCGCGGACGGACGGCCGGAGGGAGACCCTGGGGCTCCCCGTGCCCCCTCCCTCTCCCGCAGCGCCGGGCGGACTCGCCGTCTCTCCCTATGGGAGCCACTTTGACTATCCCCGCCGCCGAACACGAGCCCCGCAGCCCCGGCGGGCGGGGGGCGGGGCCGGCAAGGACACGCCCCCTCATTTGCATCGCGTCACCGCCCCGCCCCCGCGCCGCCGCCGCCAATGGGCGCCAGCAAAGCGCCGCCGAGGGGGCGGGGCCACGCCTCCATCATTAGCATAGCCCCGCCCCCGGCGCTGCCGGCCCGGGGGAAAGTTGCCCCGGAGCGCCGGGGGCGGGCCCGGCACAGCGCGGCCGCGCCTTTGTTCGCCGGCGCTGCTCGGGAGCGCCGCGGGCCACACGGGCACCGACCCCGCGGGGGCTCCCCCGATCCCCGCACCGACCCCCCGGCGCCCCGGGCCGGCCCTCGGCAGGAGGGCGCCGCGCTCCCGCACAGCCCGCACCGCTGAGTGCGGGGATGGCCGAGCCCTCCCCGCCGCCCCCGGCATCCGCCGGCAGCGCCAGGCTGCCCACGCCGACTACCCAAAGCTGGGGATGCCCCGAGCCCGCCCGCTGTGCCCGGTGTCCGAGCCCGGGATTGCCGCCCGTGCGTGGGGCAGCTCGCCCGCCGCTCGCCCCGCTGCATCCCCGCCGCTCGCCCCGGCTCCTGCCCCGCTCCCGGCAGCGTGCGCTGTTTTGCCGCACAAGTACGCGATTTCCGAACAGGACAGTTCGCGGTGAAAGTTTTTTTTTTTTTTTTTTTTTTTTTTCCCTAGGAAGTCCGATTTTTGTTTTCTCAGGGAAAATAATAATTATAATAAAACCAGTTCTTGTCCTCGCTAGGGAAGAGCCGGGCCGGTTGCGGCGCAGTCCCGCATCTCTCCGCGGGCTCCCCGAGCTGCCGCTGTCCCCGCATCACCCTCCATCCTTCCCCAGCCCGAGTCGCTCCGTGACCGAGACGCTCCCGTCTCGTCTCTAGCACGGGCTCTTGCCGCAGAAGGAGCTCTCTGTGCCGGCGGCCTGGGTTCTGCCTCCCCAAACACAGGCTTGCCCATCTTTGCACATATAATGGAACAAAACGCTGCGCATCCCGGCACGCCGGGCTCCTCGCCCTCTCCACGGCGATGTCACACCGCGGAGGCTGCGGGGAGGGCAAGCTCTGAAGAGTCTGGGCTATCCCTGAATCGCTGCCGTGTCCCTCTATGCCCCCGCTCCCCGATCTGAGGTGCGGGAGATGCTGCCCCGGGAGATGGAGGGGCGGGCGGCTGCTGCCCGCTCCTTCCAGGGGTGCAGAGCCCCGCAAAGGGCAGCGGAGCCCACCGGGCTGCATCCCCCAGCCGGGAGCCAGCTGAGGGCCCGGAGAGCAGCCAGTCCAGTCTGTCAGCACCACTCTACAGCTCCAGAGGCACCCCACGGCAGCCCGACAGCTATACAGGACCCTCTCCCAACCACCTGTACATCACTTTGTGCGGCACAGCCCGCTGAACGCACAGCTAAGCCTCGGGAAGGGAGCTCAGACTCCAAAACAGGCACAGAGTCCGCTGCCAGCACTGAGAAACTGCCCCCGATCCTTGGCTTTAGGCGAGTCCACACACAAAACATCCACATCCCCAGCATTCTGCATGCTCACACAGGAACTGTCACAGACAGCAAGTTTTCACATTCCCTGAAGATGCCATTTGAATCTTGACACGATGCTGCTGTGTCATTTCTCAGGGAGATGTGGAAGAACACGGACACACAGCCACACATGAATATTTACGCCATAGGTATGGCACAGGAGCAGTTTGGCTCCTGCAGAGCTCCGAATTATTGGGCTTCCTCCGGCTGCTGCTGTATCAGTTGTATCATATCCAGCCTAAATGCCTCCATGGTGAGATACATTCTGCAATTAAAAGCTATTTGCACCTGCACTGATTGCTCCTTTCCCAGGGCAGGGATCTGCCCAGGGAGGAATAATGCATTTGAATCAATATACTGAGCAGTTGGCAGATTTCGCCCTTCAAATCTGTTCAGGGGATCAGGGGACCATTTCCCTGCCTTTTCCAGGATGCTAAAGGGAAAAGCATCCCAGCTGCAGTGTGAGGGCACCTCCACCGGGCAGGGACAGCCACCCACGACAGAAACAGTGACAAGTTCTCCACTGGTTTCCTCCTTGTGCAAGACTCGTGCCGCTGTGCCCGACCCACAGGGAGCTCCGGCTGAAGGCTGGGCAGGAGATGCCCCACCTGGGGCTTAGGGTTAGTGTCAAAACCACTAAATAATTGCTATCAGGACGAAAGAGTTAAACACTGGCTCGACCCCCACAGAAGGAGTGTGAAAGAAAAGCAGAAGGGAAACAGGGAGGGGGTGAGAAAGTCAGGACTTTGCAAAAAAAAAAAAAAAAAAAAAAAAAGCAAGAGAGCTGGCATCAGGCAAGGAGATTTTTGTGCTCCATCCACCCTGCAGAGGCAAGCCCTGGAGCACTGAGGCTTTGATTGTAAAGAATTCCCAGTTGCCTTTAGCACTCCCTTTCCCTTTCTGCCCCCTGCCTGGGTCTGCTCTCTGGACCAGCACCACTGCACTCTGACTGCAGCAGCACACAGATCACTGCCAGGCCTGCTATGAGGCTGGAGCATACTCCGATGGAAAACTGTGTCCATCCTTTCCTCAGCATGGCAAACAGAGCTGGAGGACACTGCACAAATCAGAGCCTGCCACAGGGAAACCCTCAGTGCTGGGGCTCGGTGCTTCTCTCTTCTGCTGCAGAAGCAAACTGAGGGTCACAGTAGTGAGGGCTCCCTGCAAGTCCGAGTTAATTCTCTCTATGTTCAACACAGAATAAAACACACACAGAGACTTGCAGGCTGTGATTTGCTCCCAGGGGTGAGGGAGCTCCCAAAGCAAGCAAGAGCTGCAGGGTTGAGCCGTGGATTTTGCCCAGCAGCACAAAGCCAGGAGCTGAGACTTTGAAGCACAGACAGCACTGGGACATGGTCACTGTCCCTGGTCATGACAGACAGCAGAGATGGAAGCAGAGGAGGAAAAGGCTGGCCCTGGCTTGCTCATCCTACATAGGGGAAAAAAAAAACCAAAACGGTTTCTGGGGAACAAGGGGTTTTGAGGCCTTAGAACAAGGGGGCCATGGAAGGAGACCTCTCTCTGGAGGATAAAGGTAACTTCTGTGAGGCAGGAGACAGAGGTCTCAGAGCACAGGAATCTCTCTTACACAGGGAAAGGCCTCTCCCCTGCCTTGACACCATTTCCAAGTGGGCCCAAGGCCCCTCTCGCCTCTGACCTGGAGTTTATCCAGGACAACTCCCTCCTCCTGCCTCCAGTCCCTCCTCTCCTGCCCTGGGGCTCCCAGCACTGAGGGGACAGTCAGGCCTTGCTTCCCCTGCCCAGACCCCAAGGGAGGGAAGAAGTAGTTGGAAGTGGGAATTCCTGAGAGAAAAGCCTTCTTGTCCCTCGTCCCTGACCTTTGCAGCTGGATGAGGTCGCCCCAAAGGGACCACGCTCCTTCCTGCCCTTCAACAACAGACCCGTGACAATGGGGGAAAGGGAAAAGCAGCCTCTCCTCTCAAGGTGGGGCTGAAAGCAGAGCACTCAGGTGTTGAGCATGTGCCTGCACTTTTCCAAGGGCTTGGAAAGAGTTCACTCATGCCATCCCCAATGAAAATGCTTTTCATAAGTATTTTCCTTACAGGCTCCTGTGTTGATCCAAAGACTTTCCATCCACAGATAAATCCAATGTCTGTCTTGGCAGGTGATGACACTATTCAGCTGCTTGGATGCTTTATTCTTCCTACCTGGCTAGCTCCTGGGGAGAAGGAGAAGAGGAGAAAAAGGTCAGAGAACTGGGAATTGGAATAAAATACTCTGACTGAATAGAAAGTCCTGTTCACAAGAGAGCCTGGATGCTTCTGGGACCAGCAGAGGACCTGCCCACAACGTGATGGTGACAGCACCCCACTTTCACCCCTGCTACAAAGAAGAAGCAGGAGCAGGAGCAGGTGACCCAGATGGAAAGGTTTCATGCAGGAACTTTCCTCCTCCTGCCTCCCTTGGGGGACTCCCGGGTTACCCCTGGCTAGGATGGGGTGTGGGGGCTCCCCCGCAGGTCGGGATTCAGTCGTGCGGGTGGGAAGCAGCGAGTGCTGAGCGGAGCAATTGCTTCAGGGGCCGGGGAAAGGCAGAATGAACCCCAGCTGCGCTGCCAGGGCCCGGGGATCGGGATCGGGATCGGGATCGGGATCGGGATCGGGGCGGGTCCCCCCCGGGTCCCCCCGGTGGAACCGAGACCGGGATTGGGGGGGCGGCCGGGCCGCGTGCCCACAGCGCCACCTGGCGGCCGCGCCGGGAACGGGAACGGGAAAGGGAATGGGATCGGGAATGGGAATAGAAATGGGAACGGGAGTGGGAACGGAAACGGGAACGGGAACGGGAACGGGAACGGGAATGGGAATGGGAATGAGAATGGGAATGGGAATTGGAACGGAAACGGGAATAGGAACGGGAATGGGAACGGGAACGGGAGTGGGAGTGGGAACGGGAATGGGGGAGAGCCCGGGGAGGGGACCAGGGAGGGGATCCTATGGAGGGAAATTCCAGGAAGGGGGATCCCATGGAGAAGGGGGTCCCAGGAGAGAGTGATGCTTGGGGGGCGATCCCAGGGGAGAGGAATCCCGGGGGACGGGGATCCCATTGGAAGGTCGTTCCCGCGGGTGGGAGATCCCAGGGAAGGGGGATCCCGGGGGGTGCCTCGTGGAGAAGGTGATCACGGGTGGGCGATCCCCGGGATGGGAAGGAGGCGAGATCCCAAGGGGGGACCGACTATCCCGAGGTGGAGCATCCCTCCCACATCC